TACTTCAAGTTCGAATCATTCACTCGACGACTAAAGCCTACGGGCTATTTCTATTTCGAGTTCGAGCAAGCACTCACTCGACCATTATGCCCACGGGCTACATTACTTCAAGTTCGAATCATTGACTCAGCTAGTAAGCCTAAGGGCTACGTCACTTCAAACAATCAATCATAGAGACTACAAAGTCCAAATTTGATTGAATTATTAAGATCCTTGTGAAAACATTTGTAAGGCACGTACAAAGTCTTCACAAAATCGGCCAAGTTGTCTATATACAAAAATTTCTACATGATTGATTACAAACATAAAAAATTATGAACTAAGCTTCCTGATCATCCTCAGGGGCGTTTGCTTCTCTGTCAGGCTCTTCCCCATCCTTAGATCCGCTCTTGCTACCGTCATCATCATCATCATCATCATCATCATCATCATCATCATCATCATCGCCATCAGAAGCCAAGGCTTCAACTTCGAGCTCTTTAGCCTTTTTTATTTCTTCAGAAAGGTCGAAACCTCGAGCATGTATCTCCTCGAGGGTCACCCTCTGAGACCTATATTTAGCAAGTTTGGCAATCTAATGTGCTCGAGTGACGGCAGTATCCGCCGTCTCTCGTACCTCCATCTGAACAGCCTCGACATCAGCCCGATACACGACAATGGACTTATCCACCAAGATTTTTGACGACTCAACCTCCGCCTTGGCTTCACCAAGCCGAGCTTCAAGCTCCTCGATCCTCTTAGCTTGAGCCGAACCCTTTTGCTTAACGTTTTGAAGATGAACATCGACCGATAATAAGTTGGTCAAAATAGTCTCTTTTCCGCAGCCATGCGGTCGATAGTCTCCTTCCACCGATTACATTCAACTTTGATTTGATCGACTTCTTCCCGAAGTGACCCAATCTTTTCAACCTTTTGCTGCAGCTGAGAGAACGAAGGGTTAACTTCCACAGTCGAGTCAAACCCATACTTTAACAGAACGAGGCTCACCTGCTTATTAATTTCGGCCTCTTCTTCACGAGCCTTAGCCAAATCCGCTTGGAGGTCCTTTATAGCCTCGTCCTTTTGGCTGCAAAGAAGCCACATGGCGTCTCTCTCCCCCGAGACCTTCTGAAGCTCGACCTCACACTGGCTAAGGTAGACTCGAAACTTACCAATGGCATGCACAGTAGGGAAAGAACATGAGTCAAATTCGGAAAAGAAAAAAGAAACCAAGTATAGTAAAATCATTACCCGAGTAATGAAACATTGGGCCTCTTCTAGTAGAAGAGAAGTGTCCCCAATATCGGAAGCATCATCGACCCCAGTAAAAGCAATCCCAAAAAGGATCCCCTACACTAGAGCCTTTGCCCATATCGGGGGTCTTCAATTCTCGAGCTTCCTTTAACGCCTCCTCAAAAAAGGTAGGAAGGGAAGGTGAATAACCCACTGTCATAGCCCCAAGCGAATCACTCGGGGCATTCCGATTAAGACTCGGTATCCCGGGGCCAACCCCGATCGGTACAGTCGCCATCGGCTCAAGAGCTTTGGTAACCTCGATAGCTCTCGCAGATCGGATCACCAAATCCGAGGCACCTCCTCTTCCTCCTCCTCCTACTCCTCCTTCTCTCAGTCATTGGACCGAGTCAATCGGAAGAGCAATTGCCTTCCTCCTCACCCTTCGAGTTTTGGGCTTGGGGCCCTCTGACCGAGAGGCAGTTTTTCGCTTCTTATCTTTCACCGGTTTCGGGATTGGGAACTTGGTTCCTTCTTCACCGCTCGAAGGCCTCAAAACAGCGTCCTTGGTTACACCTGCATGAAAGGAAATCGGTAACGAATGGAGCACAAATAACACTTCGAAGGAAACGAGAAGTAAAACCTTACCATGATTCTTGGCTTCCCATCTACCTTTTTCCAAATCACGCCAAGCGCATTCGGGATAAGAGGAAGTCGAGGCTAACTTTCGAACCCAATCCTCGAGGTCGAGGCACCGCTTGTGGCATCCAAGGGGCAACTATATATCGGGAAGAGACATCAGAAAAAATCGGGAAAGGATACGAAAAGCAACGTCTTATGAGAACCACTTACGGTCGAAATTCCATTCCTCGGGGAACGACATCTTCTCTTCCGGAATAAGGTCACGGGTCCTCACCTGAATATAATGCCCCATCCAACCCCGATCCTTGTCTTCGTCGATGCTCGACATCAAAGCCTTCGATGCCCGACGATGAAGTCTGATTAATTCTCGAAAGATTTGAGGCCGATACAACCGTATGAGGTGATTCAGAGAAAAATCTAGCCCCCCAGCTTTGATGGAGAAGAAGCGAAGTAGGATTACTATACGCCATAGAGAGGGATGAATTTGACCGAGGGTGACCTGATATCTTTTGCAAAAATCAATGATCACCGGGTCGACCGGACCCAACATGAAGGGATAAGTGTAAACACTTAAAAACCCCTCCACATGGGTGATGCCGCTCTCTTCGGGGGATGAAATTTGCAACACAACCTCGGAACACCAGTTGCAGTCTTTTCTAACGGCATCGAGATGACCCTATGTTATAGAGCACATATACATTAACACGTGCTCGTATCGACCCGGGACGTATGAAGGATTCTCAACCTTAAAATCGATCTTCAGAGTACACGGGCCGGGAACGTAGTCATAGGTGGACGGCTCCACCGGTGCCTTGTCGCCGGACGGCCGTGAAGAAGAAGCTTTCTCCTTCTGAGGTACAACTTTCGAAGTTTTGGCCATTGATATGAGAGGAAGAAAGACAAAGGAAAATGAAAAATTAATGACACCAAAACTCTGGTAGCGGCGAGAAAGAAAAGATGAGAAATTTTGGGGGAGTGAATGCGTAAAAGTGGTAAATGTTATATGGAAGAGTTATTTATAGGATCGCATCATGACAGTTCAATATCAGAGGTGACTGGCCGCCATCTAACAAACATTAAATACCTTGAAAGGCTAAATCGATGGGACAACTATCACATACGTCATAATCGATCCATGTTGAAAAGTCGGCTTATGATCCGATTGAACCACCAAAAATCACATCGATTCTCATTGCATCCTTCGTGAGAAACGAGGGGACTATTTGTATACAGTGGAAATAGATTTCGGCCTTCCTACATTCGATCGAGTTTATGTGGTAAGAAGTCGGAGTGAGATTTTGGGAGTGAGCTCTGAAGTCAGTACTAACCAGCCTCGAGTCCGAAGGTTGCTCGAGGAGTCGGCTCGATAACCTTATCGAGCCCATGACCGAATCGATCCGCAAGGCACTACTTCGAGGTCGGAAATGCGCGATGCCCATCCCGAAGGGCGAACTCGAGCCAAGACCGAAAGGCTCGACCCAGTAACGAGTTCGAGCCAGTATCGGGCTCACATACAAGAGCCGTTGCAAACGCACCAAGAGAGAGAATCTTGGCGGGAATCGAGGAAGAGACAAATCATCATGGATTCTCCATTATATGCTTTATTTATTATTTTTTATAATGACCCTTGTAAGCTAAAGGGGGAGAAAAAAGGAAAACAGACGGAATAGATTGGAACAAAAAGATCTTTTCTCATATACAAAGATATCTCCTTGTGCCCGTTTTACTGAATCTTATTCATTCTTTCTGTTCATCATTGTCGTCCGCATAATCAAAATACTTGTATTGTTATCTTTATATCAAAGGAAATTTACGTATCCTTAGAACCATATACAAATTTAACATTATCCGATTTTTCGGATAAACCCGTATGAAGCCATGAAGTGCTCTAGCCTCGTGTCTTTTTGCTTATACCATCCCAGTCTAATTGTAATCAATTAATATCTAATGAGGCAAAAGCAAAAATTGATTCACGTTAATATCTTATTCTAGCTTGGTGAGTTCCATCTTTGTGCTCTTTGGAGATTTTAATTTTCATGTTTTACGATTCTTTGTGAGTTTTACCAAGTTAATTTGTATTTTTGTATTTTTTTCTCGCCAAGTATTATTAGGCACAAAAATACTTTGTCTTTGTGAGACTTCTTCGCTCCGACACTTATATCTTGACATACTATTTTATTGATTCAGTGATGGTATAATTGATAGATGACAAATTAATCTCTAAGTTAATCTAAATTTATCTTGAGATTTTTAAGTTTGCTTTGCATTTAAAGAAAAACATATCACAATACATAGTAGAACTTGAAATCCAATAGATGTATCAAGCCTAACTTCACTTTTATTTTCGTGATCCTTTTCGTAAACTTGACCTTTTAGATTTCAATAAAAATGTATCTGCAATTCTTTGCTTGAGGTATAATCTTGAGAGAAAGGTTATTTATTTTCGGAGCGGTGATATATTAAAATTTCAAGTTTATTTTATTTTTTCAAGTTTAGATAGACTTTATATTTGCAATACGAGGATCAAGTCTCAAGATTATAGATAAGAAAGAGTGATTATTGGTCTAGGAACAAACATCTTCGAGAGGATTGTTATTGCTAGAGACCAGGAATAATGTCATGTAAACAAAATCATAAGTTATATTGTGGACGAACTAAAGAAATGAGGGGTCATTCTTTTGCATTGGATTTTTTGATCATTATGGACAAAAAGGTAACTAGGCTAGCTAGCTTAGTTTTTATTTTCTTCAAGAATTTTTATACTGTATGTCTTAGTGAAAAGAGTTCATTACAAGATAATTTTTATAATAATTTAGAATTGATACATAAATTATTTTTTCTTGTATACAAACCAAACTACTCTTACAAAAAAGGAAAGAAAACAACATCTATTATTTTTTTCTAGCAAATTTGAAGTATTAGTTTGTCAACACAACCTGTTTTAGTTTGTATATTAACATGTTATTTTGAAGTTTCACATATTTATACGAGAAACACGTGTATTGCACGTGTCCAAAAACTAGTTTGGTATGTATATACTATACATACTTGCATAATGCAGATTTTAAATTACAACATAAATATAAAATATTATTGTTATTCTCATATCATTACTTCATGAACCAAGATGAAATATAGTGACGATGAGAAAATTTAAACTTTGAAGTATTTTTCAATTTTCTCCCCTCAAAATAAGACTGACCAAAGAACATGATTGGCGGCAACTAAAAAGTAAAAACATGGCACACAGAGGAAATAAAAACCAAGAAGAAAAAGGGAAACAATTGAAGTTGATACGCATATTGCTTCATTCTCTCCTGATTTTACCCTAAAATCTAAGTCGGAAGTAGTGTTTCCTCAGTGTAAGCAATCTCCTTTGCTTCTTTTGTTTGTTTATTCCCCGATTTTTTTATTCATTTACAATGTATGTTGCGTAATATACGTTCTTTCAGTTAATTTTTGCACTCCAATACAACGGGTTTTACTAGAACCCTGATATGGAGTGTTCTTGTTTTGTTGGATTTGATTCCATATAAACCATACTGTTTTGACCAGTTGTATAAAAGCCCAAGCTCGAGAAAAGATGACCAAGCTGAACTGAAAAATTGAGCCATTATTGTAGTCTGTGGGTATCATTTTTATACTATGCTGAAATTTCAGGTTGCAAATGGGAAAGGAAGGCGAGGAATTGACAGAGCAAGAGACTGCCATATATGATCGTCAGATTAGGGTTTGGGGTGTCGATGCTCAGCGAAGGTATTCGTTTTTCTCATTTACACAGGCAACCAGTAAGATAATGCATCACAAATAGACGGTTGTTAGGGATATATGTTTACTTACATAATACATGTATCTTAGTTTAGCATCCTTATAACTGGTGATAATAGGGAAGTAAATGTTCTTGGTACTTGTGCACTTATCGTGGTATGTAACCTTATACAGTGTTTATATTGTTGTTGATAGTGTGAACATTCTTTACACTGTGAGTGTATACTTTTCAAAGTTACCTCTTAACATATGTCAAAAAGCAAGGTCCTCATAGCTGTGTAGAAACACTTTTAATAGCTGAATGAGAATGAAGATGATAAAATAACCAATACAAAATAAGGTAATTTGAAGATTGTTTATGATGATCAGATGCGGGTTGTCCCGCTTTCCATTAGGAATGGCAATGCAGCAGGACATGGTGGGGGCGGAGCGGGGAAAGGTAAAGCCTTAATGGGGCGAGACGGGAGAATACTTAAGTGGAGCAGGGTAGGAACAAAAATTGAATTATGAAAAATGTATAGTGAGGTTGGATATGGGTAGGTCAAGTTTAAACTCAGTTTCATTGCACTTCACGACACAAAGCCTCGTTCTCCATTTCTCTACTCTCTCTCTACTTCTTCGTTGTTAAGCCATCTTCGGCTCGTCTACACTCTCAGGTGAGGACATGGGGTAATGACTTGACTTTATTCAGCAAGTGTTTTCCAGTTTGTTGGTTTTGTTAATTACTTGGTGGAGTGTAATCGGGTAAAGCGATTAATAGGTGGATCATGAGAAATTGAGAATTTAGGAAATGAGAACATAGTGTTCCTATTTTGTATTGTTCTTGTTAAACCCACAAAGCTAAGGAGAGTAGTTAATACTCTATAAAGATTTCTAAAAACCGTAACATACATTGGGTTTTACCTTGTGACTGTAGGTTTGGGTTAAAATTGTGGTAGGTCAAGGCATTACATGTCCTGCCCTGCTTTACCTATCCTATTTGTCATCTCTACTTCCCATTACTCTCCTTTCTTGAGTTGTAAGTCTTTTTTACTTGGTCTGGCTCGATCATTCCATGCGACTGCCAACTAGCACTTCAAAAGGCGAAACTCTCCATCGTAGTTTGGTGAGCTATCGATGAGATTCAGTAGAGATTGATGCTTCAAATTGCAAACACTCTTGTTGGATTTTAGCACGTGAGTTGTTCTTCTACTTTGACTCCAAGTGAGGGTGATTTTCTGTAGACTGCTGAATATTTTCGCCAATCCGAATGCTTCCTTTTTCTTAAACTTAGTTTTGTATGTTAAGGAAGAGGTCAAATTTATTGATTAAGAAGCCTGCTGGTTAGAGAATTTTCAGATGAACAAATATCTATCTTCTTAATATAAGTCATGAAGGTTGAATTTATTAGCTTCTGTACTTTTATAGTTGATTACTCTTCACTGCGCAAATGTCTTATATTTTTCATTTCTTAATCTGACTAAACGAGGCACCCAGATCTTTCATAATCGATACGAACTTAGCTAAAATATAGCAGAATGGAAGTAAGGAATCCATATTGGTGATACCAACTAGTTGTGAGTAAAGATTTCTATGTCCATCAACTAGGCATGGTTGATTGACGTAGCCGACCACAACTAGTCTGAGATCGAGGAGTCGTTGATTGATTGATTGGTTGCACCAAGTGCGCTTGCTAACTGCTACAGATTGGTCACTACTCCATATAAGTTCTCTGTTTAGTGAAAGCTTTCTGGTTGGTCTCATCTATAGTTAAGTGTATATTTCTTCAAAATAAAGCGAGGAGCAAAGGTGTGAAGTTCTTTGTTACATGGACTCCTCAGTTCTTGGCTTACCCTTGTCAAGTTCGTGACTTCGCAAAGGTACCATACTTGGATCTTCCAAAATATACCACAAAAGGCCTACTAAAATTTGATGTAATCGTACACCTACCCGAATCTGATATTTGTACTTAAGTCCATGTAACATATGTAGATTTTAGTCCGGTGTAACTTGTTATGAAAAAAGAGGGACACCCTTGTCTCTTTTAATTTGATATGTGTGCTCATCCTAGTTTCGTATATGACTTACTTTTAATTTAAAAAAACAATATTTATCTTCAAGGGAATGACATATACAAGAATTTTTAGATAGACAGATGGCAGACCATCTAGTTTTTTCATTTTTATAAAATTTTCCACTATTTTATTGCTTATGTCGGGTTGAGCAAATCTCATATATTTGTCAGTGGACTGAAAGGGACTGTTGTTGAGGTACAATTCTACCAGTGATCACTTTTTTGAGTAAATATTTACTTCGATAATATTTTTGTTATCAATAGAACTTCTTAATCGTTTCTTGTTGGTGGAATTGGATTATTCCAAGCTTAAATTGTAAACATCATGATTCTTGGTCATTTGATAGGACACGTTTTTTTTTGAAATGATAACAGGTTTCATTGACATATAGATAAATCTCAGCGCCAAGATAGTGCTGAGAGAAAAGGTCCCTAGTTACAAGACTTCCAAAAATTAAGAGATTGATGAACAAAAACAAGTGGAGAAAAACAAGTCTTGTGGCATTTACAAGGACTCGATGAGATCAACTAGGGAATCTGCATCTTGTACTAAAGCTTCTTTACACCAAAAGTGAAATAAAGATATACAATTCATTTTAATCTTCTGATCAGGATTTGCTGAGTGTTCAAAACATCTGGAGTTCCTTTCCAGCCAGATAGTCCACCAAATGCATGTTGGAATGAGACTCCAACACCTCTTCTGGCTGCTTCCTGTAGCTAAATAGTCCCAACTAGACAGCAAGTCCATAGTCTCTCTAGGCATCACACAGCTTAAGCTTTTCATACTTATGAAAAGGTGCCATAATCTATTGGACACCTGACAATGAAGAAATAGAAGATTGTTTGTTTCGATGGCCCTTCCGCACAGAAAACATTTGGAGCACAGAGACATTCCTCTTTTCATTAAGCTCTCGTGTGTCAGAACAGCCTGTTTGACCACTAGCCAACAAAACACATTAACTTTTAAAGGGACCTTCAACCTCCAGATGTGCTTCCATATCCAAGCCTCTTGTTGCTGCGAACTTCTGTTTAAAACCTCATATGCAGATTTCACAGTGAAAACTCTTTTGCTATTGTTTTTCCATAACAGTTTGTCCACTTGCTCAGTTGGACCTTTGAAGTTTTCCAAAAGTTTCAGAAGCTCAATTACTTTGATCACCTCCCAATCATTCAGAAATCTTCTGAAGCTTAAATTCCAGCCTTGCTGATTCCAGGTATCATTAATAGAAGCATCTGGCTGCTGCGCTAAAGAGTATAGATCAAGGAAACTGTCTTTTAGTGGAGTATTCCCTATCCAATCATCTTTCCAGAAGAGAGTTTTTGCATCATTGCCCACCTTTATGGAAGAATTGCTCATTAGGTTTTGCCAGAGAGATCTAATAGATCTCCACACACTCATACCATAAGGGCTAGCCACTATACCTGAGCTCCGCTTGCCTTCAGTCCCATATTTTTCACATATCACTTTCCTCCATAGGGCGTGCTCCTCCAATGGGAATCTCCATAGCCATTTCATAAGTAGGCTCTTGTTATGCTGCCTCAAATTTCTGATTCCCAATCCACCTTCCTTCTTGCTAGTCGCGAGAGTTTTCCATTTAACTAGATGGTAGCCTCTTTTCTCTTTATTCCCGTGCCATATAAAGTTCCTCCTCAAAGCATCAATCTTTGTCTCAATACTAACAGGTAGTCGAAAGATTGACATCATGTAGGTGGGAAGGGAGTCTAGTACACTGTTGACTAGTGTGACCCTCCCTCCCAAGGACAGGTAATTGTTCTTCCACCTGGATAACTTCTTTTCACACCTTTCTAGAACCCCATTCCATATCTGGTTGGACTTGCTCTTTGCACCTAGTGGTAGCCCCAAATAGGTGGTAGGAAGAGATCCCACTTCACATCCTAGCGAGCCAGCTAGTCTTTGAGGATCTGTGACCTCATTAACTGTGAAAATCAAGGATTTACTCCAGTTCACATGTAAACCTGAGATGGCCTCGTAAACAGTCAAAATCAATCTCAGGTGAGTAACCTGCTCCTCCTTGGCATCACAAAAAATATAAGTGAGTCATCAGCATAAATAGGACAAGTTTTTATAAAACATTTAGAGCGCCAGATGCTAAAATCAAATTAAGGAACTTCATATTGTATTTAACTCTGTTAACTCTTTTTTCTCCTTTTACTTTCCCAGTTCTGCAAGAATATTGTCTTGGCCGGAGTAGGTAGTTTGACGCTCAATGATGATCGATTTGTAGCAGAAGAGCTACTGTCTGCTAACTTCTTAGTTCCTCCCGATGAAAATATAACCCGCGGGAAATCACTTGCTGAGCTTTGTTGTGAATCACTTAAAGATTTCAACCCCATGGTTTCTGTTTCTGTTGAAAAAGGTTGTTTTTTTTTGTACTGTATCTTATTTATAAACGCTTAAACCTGCATAGTTCTTCTAACTTATCAAGCAACTGCATTTCCACTTTTTATTGTTCTTCAATCTTGTAATGTCTTCTTAAGCTAGGGTAATCTGCCACTATGGGCATATGATCTAAGTTGAATACATGTTGAAATGTGACGTGACAGTGCCGGTGATACAGTCAATTAGTACTTCGGGATAGACTTAGTTGAGAGAAGGTACAGATGTCAAAGGTGGTTTATGAGTTTATCGTTTACCTAAGTTTTGTATGTTGTAATTAGTGTTACTTTCAGTGTATTTTGCATCTATTATCTTATAAATTGGGTTCTAAGGAAAAGCATTCTCAATATGCATCAGATTATAGCTGTTAATGCCAGTCTGCCAAAATGTGATTTGGAGTTGATGTCTACTCTATATGTGGCCGAAATGATTTTTGTCTAAATATATCCAAGAAAGAAATGTATAGAAGTGCTTGTCAATGCCTATAACATTGCTTAGCTGTTCCTTCTTTCTTGTACTCCCATTCCTTCTTTCTTGTAATCCTTTGGGACCACATCTCCTCTCCTGTTTTCTGTTTTTCTTTCATCTGCAGTCATAGCATCATAACCTCTAGATATTGAATCAAGAGATGCTGCTACGTTTACCTCAATGCATGACATTCTGTGCGTCTCTGGGCCCTATAATCTTAGGCTTTATGTCGCTACAAAAAGATTTGGTCACCTGAATCTGAATCAGCTCAGTATCAGTAAAGAAATGTAATGTGCTAACCTACTTCCTTTAAACCTTAATACTCACAGGCATCCCACTTTGACCTCTGTTCTTTGATTTGCATCGAGGTGCTTGATTCTGTTAGGTTATTGTTTTTTTCCTGACACATGTGACTGCTATACATTTGTGCTTATTAAGCTTATCGGCCTATTCAATCTTTTTATACTCTCTGTTAGATAGTTATGAGTAATTAGTCCTAGTCCCATATGTAGTAGGAATATAATATGTATTTTATATAGGGGTTATTCTATCATAGTAAATAGATCAATAATATAATTTTCCCGTGTATTGTTTCTCACATGGTATCAGAGCGTGAGTGAGACACATCCAGGAAAGTAAGACAATCGCCGCGTATCAATTTCCGGCGACTTTCTAGGGCAGATTTACGACAAATCAATTTCTGTTGGTGTTGTGCGAAACCAACACCACCACAAGGTCCCCCAACCCCCGACGGCCAAACTCCAACCAAAATGTCCGGCAGATGACTGCTCACGCGCTCTCACGTGCCGTTCGGAGGTCAGAAATTCCGACGAGATCTACTCCACGCGCCGGTGCGTGGAGCCTTTTCCGACGACTTTTTGAAAAAATTTCCTTGGAACAGTGTCATCGCCCATCAATTCCGAGCATGCCCATCATATTTTCTTTTTATTCCGATCTCTTTTAATTTTTTCCGGCAGCTACAATGATTTTCTCGGCAGAAACAATGTTTCCTTCCCTGTTTTAGTGAGATACAATTGATTATTTTTATTGTTTGTTTTTAGACCTCTCTCCAATCCAACGATGTCTTTGGGGATTTGATGTATTTGGTTCTAAAAACACGGGTTCTGGAAATTAAAGCTTTATGATTATTTTGGAGCCCTTAATGAGAAGTTCAAACTATTTAGCGTGGGCTTGCTCTATTGAATTATGGTGCAGGGGTCAAGATGTTCAAGATCACTTAATCAAAAAAGTTAGTGAGGGTGATGAAAAGGCCAAAGCACTTTGGGAGAAGATCGATGCTCAATTATGTAGTATCTTATGGCGATCTATTGATCCCAAGTTGATGCTCTTGCTTCATCTATTCCAGATATGTCATTTAGTTTGGGAAAAGGCTCGCACTTTATACACTAATGGCATATCTCGCTTCTATGACATGATATTGCGAATGACAGATTTAAAGAAACATGCATTGGATATGTCTACTTATTTGGGATAAGTACAAATAGTCATGGAGGAATTTGAGAAGTTGATGCTAGTTTCTGCTAGTGTGAAAAGCAACAAGAGCAACGACTAGAGACGTTTCTAGTTCTTACACTTGCTGGACTTCCTACTGACCTTGATTTAGCACGCGACCGGATTTTGGCTAGTCCGACTATTCCTACAATTGATGAATTATTCTCTCGATTAATTGTCCTTGCTGCAGCACTCGGTCTCATAGTGATCCCATCACAAACAGTTGACTTCTCTGTTCTCGCATCTCAAACAATGGAAAATCGGACATCTCAGACTATGGAGAATCAACAAGGAGGTCGCTTAGGGAGATCTCGACCCAGGTGTAGTCATTATAATAAACTTGGACACACTCGTGAAGTGTGCTATTCTTTACATGGTCGACCACCAAAAAATACTCATATTGTTCAGACCGAGACTACAGGTAACCAGGGATTTTCTTTATTTGAAGGGTATTGAGTTCCTTCCGTATCGAGCAAGTAAGCGGACATCTCGACAAATAGCCTCAGTTGCTCAGACTGATACTTCTGTTGCTTGTGTTTCCCAATCTAGTACTCTTGGACCGTGTGTCATGGACCACGGCGCTCTTCTGGTCATATCTCTGGTAATAAATCACTTTTGTCGAATATTGTATATTATTGTCTTTTCCCACTGTTACTTTAGCCAATGTGTTCCAAACTAAAGCAAAAGGAGTTGGACAAGCTAATCCCCCATCTTCTGTCACTCTAGATTCCGTTCTTTATGTCCTTGGCTGTCCTTTTAGTTTTGCGTCTGTTAGTCGTTTGACTCGTGCCCTCCATTGTAGTATATATTTTATTGATAATTCTTTTATTATGCAGGACCGCAGTACGGGATAGACGATTGGTACATGGCGTGAATCACAAGACCTTTACTACCTGAACTCACTCAATCCCCCACAACATGTCCTGTTACAGATCTTCTAGACCTAATTCACAGACGTGTAGGACATCCAAGTTTATCCAAGCTTCAAAAAATGATACCTAGTTTGTCTACTTTGTCTAAATTAGATTGTGAGTCGTGTCAGCTTGGGAAACATACGCGAGCCACCTTTCCACGTAGTGTTGAGAGTCGTGCAAAGTCTGCTTTCTTTTTAGTTCATTATGATATGAGTCCTAGTAGAGTTAGTTCAACCTTAGGATTTCGTTTTTTTGTTAGTTTCATTGATGATTATTCAAGATGTACTTGGCTTTTCTTAATGAAAGATCGTTTTGAGTTGTTTTCTATATTCTAGAGTTTCTGTGCTGAAATAAAAAATCAATTTGATGTTTCTATTCACACATTTTGCAGTGATAATGCTTTAGAATATTTATCCTCTCAGTTTCAGTAGTTTATGACTTCTCAAGGAATTATTCATTAGACATCTTGTGCTTATACCCCTCAACAGAATGGGGTTGCGGAGAGAGAATATGCACCTTGTTGAGACTGCTCGCACACTTCTCATTCAGTCTCATGTTCATTTTTGGGGCGATGCAGTTATCACGGCTTGTTACTTGATTAATCGGATGCCTTCATCTCCCATTCAGAATCAAGTCCCGCATTCAGTATTGTTTCCCCATTCACCCTTATACTTTTTTCCCTCTCGTGTTTTTGGGAGCATATGTTTCGTTCATATCTTAGCCCCTGGGAAAGAAAAAGTTAGCTCATCGTGCTCTCAAGTGTATCTTTCTTGGTTATTCTCGTGTTCAAAAGGGATATCGTTGCTACTCACCTTATTTTCGTAGGTACCTTATGTCAGCTGATATCACATTTTTTGAGTCTTGACCTTACTTTACCTCTTCTGACCACTTTGATATATCTGAGGTCTTACCTACTCCGATTCTTGAGGAGTTTACTACAGTTCCATCTACATCCTCAGCTACAAATGTCTTACCCATACCGATCGTTGAGGAGTCTAGTATTGCTCTTCCTATACCCCCAGCCACAAGAACACCACTTTTGACTTATCGTCCGCGTCCAGTATCAGGGCCAGCTGATTCACGTCTTGCACCTGACCCTGCTCCTACTGCGGACTTGTCTCCTCTTAGTCCACTGATTGGACTTCGGAAAGGTATACAGTCCACTCTTAATCCTAATCCGCATTATGTCCGTTTAAGTTATCATTGTTTGTCATCACCTCATTATGCTTTTGTAATTTTTTTTGTCTATTTCCATCCCTAAGTCTAAGGTGAAGTACTGTCTCATCCAAGATGACGACATGCTATGATTGACGAGATGTCTGCTTTATATACGAGTGGTACTTGAGAGCTTGTTCCTCTTCTTTCAGGTAAATCTAATGTTGGTTGTCATTGGGTTTATGCAGCCAAAGTAGGTCCGGATGGCCAGGTTGATCGACTTAAGACCCGTCTTGTTGCCAAAGGGTATACTCAGATATTTGGGCTCGATTACAATGATACTTTTTCTCCCATGGATAAAATAGCATCAGTCCGCCTTTTTCTATCTATGGTTGTTCGCCATTGGCTTCTCTATCAGCTGGACATTAAGAATGCTTTTGTTCACGGTGACCATGGGGATGAAGTTTATATGGAGCAACCACCCGATTTTGTTGCTCAGGGGGAGTCTAGTGGCCTTGTATGTCACTTGCGCCAGTCACTCTATGGTAAAGCAATCTCCTCGAGCATGTTTTGGTAAGTTCAGCACAGTTATTCAGGAGTTTGGCATGACTCGTAGTGAAGCTGATCACTCTGTATTTTATCTGCATTCTGCTTCAAATCTCTGTATTTATCTAGTGGTTTATTATGACGATATTGTTTTTACTGGCAATGATCAGGATGGCATTAATAGGTTGAAGCAACATCTCTTTCCGCACTTTCAGACTAAGGATCTGGGCAGATTAAAATATTTTCTGGGTATTGAGGTCGCTCAGTCTAGCTCAGGTATTGTGATCTCACAACGCAAGTATGCCTTAGAGATTCTTGAGGAGACATGAATGACAAGCTGTAGGCCTGTTGACATTCCTATGGATCCAAATTCTAAATTTCTTCCAGGACAGGGAGAGGCGCTTAGCGATCCCGCAAGATATAAGCGGCTGGTTAGTAAATTAAATTACCTCACGGTGACTAGACCTGGCATTTCCTTTCTTGTGAGTGTTGTGAGTTAGTTTATGGATTCTCTCTGAGATAGTTATTGGGATGCAGTTGTCCGCATTCTTCGGTATATAAAATCAGCTCCAGGCAAAGGATTATTATTTGAGGATTGAGGCCATGAGCAGATCGTTGGATACTCAGATGCTGATTGGGCAGGATCACCTTCTGATAGACATTCTATATCTGGATATTATGTTTTAATAGGAGAGTAATTTGGTGTCTTGGAAGAGCAAGAAACATAATGTGGTTGCTCGGTCTAGTGCAGAAGCAGAATATTGAGCAATAGCCATGGCAGTTGTGAGCTAGTTTGGATCAAACAGTTCAAGGAGTTGAAATTTGGTGAAATTAGCTAGATGGAACTTGTGTGTGATAATCAAGCTGTCTATCATATTGCATCATATCCGGTGTTCTATGAGATAACTAAACACATTGAGATTGGCTGTCACTTCGTCAGAGAAAAGATACTCTTAGGAGATATTGCTACAAAGTTTGTAAAGTCGAATGATCTGCTTGCAGATTTTTTCACGAAGTCCCTCACTGGTCATCGTATTAGTTACATATGTAACAAGCTCGATACATATGATTTGTATCCACCGGCTTGAGGGGGAGTGTTAGAGAGTTATGTGTAATTAGTCCTAATCCCATATGTAGTAGGAATAGAATGTGTATTATATATAACGCTCATTGTATCATAGTAAATAGATCAATAATATAATTTTCCCGTGTATTATTTCTCATACTCTCAAATCATGGTAAAAGGTGCATTAAGAGAATTCCTAACATGTCGCATCTGACTGAGTTCTTAGATATATTTCCTATTCGGTTTTCATGATATGCAGAGTCAGGGGCATGGTAAGCATTCTATATCTATCTCATGTCAGAGTCAAACTGTGTCAAAGTTTTTAAGATTTCATAGACCTTATCTGTATCTGTCTCTCTTAGTCGAACTAGCCACCCCTTGGGAACCGTCTCCCCTTTTACCCTACAATGAAGGGCAATTTCCTAGGACTCATGAGACTCATATACTATATTTTTAGGTGACCTGGCCAACTTCGATGTTGAATTCTTTCAGAAGTTCGATGCTGTTGTCATCAGTTGTTGCTCCCTTTTGACAAAAGTATGGACATTCTTCTTTCTTGTTGAACATAAGATAAGATGGTTTTTCCAATGAAAATTTCAGTCTTTTATAATTTTCCTTTCGATTATGCTCCCTATGCAGAAATCAGTCAATGCAAAGTGTCGCAAGTTGCCAAGGCGTATCGCATTTTACCATGTAGAATGCCGAGATTCCTGCGGTGAGATATTTGTTGACTTGCAGAATTACAGCTACTCCAAGGTTAGAACCAAATTCATTTCTTTTTTAGGTCCTCTGTGGTTGAGTTGTATTTAGTTCTTGGATAGAGCATCTCTGTGTTTAATGATTATACAGCTTGTGTTATCTTCTTTTGACCCTTTTGTTCAGTTCGATCTAGTCCTTTCCACACATTTGTGTATTTTATCTTGAGGGCCACTTGCTTATCATATAGCTAAATCTGAAGGAATCTCTTAAATCTCTTCTTATCACTTCTGCAGAAAAAGAATGAAGAAACAATTGAATGCCAACTACACTGTCCGAGTTTTGAGGTGTGACTTCATCAAAGCCATTAACAAAGAAAATGTTTTCTTGTTTAGCTGTTGTGCTGTTTTACATAATTGTATCGTTGAGATTATGTCTTCTCATCCTTCGTTTGTTTTAAAGATTTCAGTCTCAGCGAATCTCAGATATGTCGAAGTCATCCGTTTGATTTTCTTTTTCAACTTAAGGTAATGACAACTATATCTGCCTAGCAGATAATGAATAAAAGGTGATTTGAGCTAGTTATTATTTCATACTTCATAGCTGAAACCTTATGGACCTCTATATGTCGCTTCTAAACAGATCAATTTGCTCCAGTCCAGCTGCATGATTGTTTATATCATTGCCTAAAGTCTATGATGTTTTCATTTCTTGATTTTCCCTTTCGATCTTGTTTCAGCACTATTTTTTGTTAAGCACCATTCGAAGTGTTTGGTGGTTAATAATCCATCTGCTTAACATTTTAACATTTATATGGTAGCTTTGAAGCTTGTCACTAGTATCTGGCAGCTTTTAAATGGAAACAATTAGCTGCATATGTGATATTCCATAGAGTTGGCAAAGTTTTTGGTGAGTGTAACCTTGTCATTTCAAAGTAACAAGAACCTCCTAACATTCTGTCTAGATAGAGTAGTTTAAGGAAGACTTAATTCGCCCGAGAGACAACACCCTTCCAATTTGCATTATCAGTTTCATTGATGAATACCTCATCCCCTATTTGTGAGGGGTCTAATGCGACTTGTCTCTCATCACTGCCATTTTCTTCACAACCATCACCCGACATCAAATAATCCACCTAAACTTGTTTTCATGTCCAGTTTCAGCACTGATGAAGTCCTGCAACACCATTTCAGACATAAATATGGACATAATGATTGGATCTGGATTTAAAATCCTAAAGGATCTCATACTCCCAAAAAAATAAGAGAAGATGTATGGAATTCGTTGGAACAGGTAGAGTTTTAAAGGCAATTATGCGTTAAAGAGAGACAGCAATGCAACATATGCTAAAGATTCCTGTAATCCCCTTTAACTTTCTAAATTAAATATAAATGGTTGAGTTACTAAATCTGATGGTTTCTTAACCTGAAGTTAATATGGTTTCCGTGTTGCAGAGTATTTTATAAGTTTTTCATTTGAATTGGCAATTGCCTTACCTAAACTTCTGCAGGAAGCCATTGCAGTCCCGTGGAGATCTCTACCCAAGAGAATGACAAAGCTATACTTTGCCATGAGAGGTAAACTGTATTACTCAGGTTCTTGTAATTTTTTATGCATATTTACAGATGTTCTCTAAATACAGACTTTCGCTATCTGCTACCTCCTGGTGCATGAAGGTCAACGGGAATTTCAGCTATATAGTAACAAGAACAGGAGAGAGATCAGTGGGTTGCAGTCAGACTCAATCCCAATGTGGCATGTTTAAGTTCTCAGGATCGTTGCTTCTGCTTTGATACATTAGGATTATAGAAACTGAACCGATGTGCTTACCTTCAGAGAGGATGCAGTGTCAATCACAGGCTGTTTCCTAGTCTCTCCACTCCCCCTTCCCCCAACCACCATTTTTCTTATCCACAAGATCATATTACGAGATAAGAACTGACTATTTGTGGGGTTCAAATACTATGTAGTAGCTTTCTGCGAGAAAACATCAATTACTAACCTTGGGAAAAATTTGAGATACTTGACAGGGTGCTCTATACAATTACTATTTTTGTGTTCTTCAGCATCCTATGATATTTGTGGTCTTCAAATTGCAGATGTATATTATCTGTTTTAATTATAGCACAGTGGTAGCAGTCCTTGGAAATATTCAACTTTTTGGTAGCCTGGACGTCAAAAATACTTTAATTAGCTATCTTGGTGTTTGTTTTTGTTGAAGTGTGTGACCATCTCATCCAAAAGCTTAAGCTGTTAGAGAGAACACACTTTTATTTACTTAAATATTCTTCAACACGCCCCCTCACGTGCGGGCGTGATTCTTTTTGATGAGCCAAGCATGTGGAAATTCTTTTTGATATTGGGTGGCGGTGAGACTCGAACCCAAGACCTCAGCCTGCTCTAATACCATGTTGAAGTGTGTGACCATTTCATCTAAAAACTTAAGCTGTTAGAAAGAGAAATAGACTTTTATTTACTTAATTATGCCTTCAGCAGTCTTTCACGAAGACTGAAAGTGGTAATGGTGACAAAGTGATAGGAAGCCCATGATTGTGTATTTTGATACATGACCTAAGTGCAACAAAACTTACTTAAATTGTCCCTTGACTTTGTGAATGGTAATTTTTTTGCAGTCATCGAGAGGTTTGAAGTGCTTGAAAGGTGCAATCCTGGAGATACTTGTGCGGATGACCTTCCGAATGTTTTGAAGTTGAGGAAGGAACTATGTGAGGCGCAGGTATATACCAGGAAATCAAGTATATTAATGTAAAATGCATTTCCTCCAAGTCCTTAACAGAATTGCCTCTTGATTTGCAGTGCATAAATGAATCTCAGATCCCAGATTCTCTCCTAGAAAGGTTGTTAGCATCTGAACATGAATTTCCTCCAGTTTGTGCCATTGTGGGAGGAGTCCTTGTACAGGTGATTATGCTGCTGTCTTGTTCATTTGGTACCTCTTGACATTTTTCGCTGATGTGTTCAAATTTTTATCCTTGTAGGAGGTTATTAAAGCAATATCTGGAAAAGGGGATCCCCTTAAAAACATTTTCTTCTTTGATGCCACAGACGGTAAAGGGATAATAGAGGACATATCTAATGTCAACAGCTGAGGAGCTAGGAATTCTATTCAGGATGATCAATGGCTTGTGGTGAATACTGTTTAACATATGCTAACCTTATTTGTGGATTTGTCTAATTGTCTCCTACGGATAACCATATTTGATTACTCCAAATATGACTTAGTTCACCTTATGAGGTTAATCTGATTGCTGTTTAGTTCAACATATGATCTGGTTTTACTTATTATTCAAACATGATAGTGTTACTATATATATAAAAAAAAAATGCAGAAAAAGCTTTTAGCTACCAAAAATAACTTATGGATTATTAAAAAACTGTTTGATTAATGAATAGTGTTGTTGCCCTTTTGAATAAGACGAAGGGGAAGATCTTTTGGTGGAGTGGAACTTTGAATATTAGAAAGTGGTGCAAGGTGAAGTTGTGACCATAAAGCTACAACTTTCATCATCTCCCTTTTGCCCTTTTTGCTGATTAGTAGCTTTATGGATGATAGTGATGAACTGCTTCGTCATGTGTTCTGAGAAGAACAATAAATAGAGATTTAGAAGAAACCTCTTGATTTTAAAATTGAACTTTTCCACACAAACAAGATTTGGAAAACTCTCACCTTCCTCCCGCTATCCTCCTTTTTATTTAGTAATAGAGATGGCAAACGAAAAATTTGTATTTAGACACAGCGTTTACTCTAACCTAGAACAATTTAATTTTAAGAATAACAAATTAAAGTGAATATTTATTATTATTTAACTATGATTAAATGATAAAAGTTTATATGTTATATTCATTGGTTTAACAAACACCCTGTGGGGATTAAATATTTCTAACAACAAATGAAGGATTGGCGCGTCACCTGTTCTACCGTTCTGTGTTCTGACACAACCATTGGAAGAAAGTGTTTAAGGGCATATGGTCAATTGTTTGTAATATCTCATGAGAAAAACATTAGGTATTTATGTAGAAGTATTAAATTTAATATATAATATGTTACCTGCTAACTGTTTACCTAAATACATAGTAACCATTTACCGAAACCTTTTAATCTCTCATCAAGGTTCCGCGACTAGTTAATTTGATACTTGTCTCTGTCGTTATTTTCATCTAAGCCTGCAAACAACTAGTTCAATGGGGGTAAAAACCCAAATCTGTATAATGATTTTACTCGGCAACACTACTATCTGCGTAAACTACTAAGATATTCAGGTATTTCGTACTGGTGTGAGATAGTGGGTATCCCATGGAATTAGTCAAGGTGCGCAAGCTGACCCGAATAGGTAAATACTATGGTTATTAAAAACAATCAGAGGTAAATAATAACATTTAACGTTAGATTTTAAAGGAGTAGGTACCATCGGTTCATATATACTAATTAGAGATTATTACAGATATTTATAAAATATAACTTATGCTCCATATCCATTGCGGAGGGATAGGACTGATTGGTTGGTTGTAATAAAAACTAAGCCTGTTGTTAGGGTGGAAGTTGAGAATGTGCTAGATGTTGCTTACCAAAATGATACCTCAAGTGTTAACCAAATGGTGGATGATCAGTTAAAAAATGACTTGGAGCATCCTCAACGCATATTAGAAGATATGGAGGAAATAACAATCATAGAAAATGAGGACGAAGAATCACCTGATGAAAATGAAATAAATGAAGAGGAAGAATTTTCGGACGAGGAAGGATACTTCGAAGACGACTAGCATGTTAGTTTTTTCAAGCGCTCTTAACTTATATAGATTTATATTCTCAATTCTAGCATTTTCTTTAATTTATGCAGATGACCGATAAGGGTCGAGGTAGGTCTAGGAAGGATAAGAGGCATATTGATCATGAGGATAGTGCTACACCCTCACTTCTTTCCACTCCATACTTGCACTCATCTGCTGCTGATGGCCGACAACAATCTTCTAGGCACACATCTTTTCCACCACATCTATCTACTTATCAGACTACCTACCATTCGCCCTCCCAGCAGTATTCTTACCATTCTCCACCACAGGGCTATACCCCGCTTCCTCCACATGATCCTGCATATAGTTACATGGGTCCACCGAGTCAGCAGTCACAGGGCCATGTGGTGATACGCCCGTCATCTGCTCCATTTGCTTCACCACCAACTAGATCGCATCCATCTAGATTACAGCCACCCGGATCGCAGCAGTGGTCTGTATCGCAGCGGGGCTCTAAATTGCACCCATTTTCATTAGCGACCCCGTCTCCCTTTACACGGAGTTCGTCTCCTAGCATTTCTAGACTTTGCCTTCGGTATAGTAGTGCTGAGCCAGATGCCTCCCCTTCTACGCACGCTTTAGATACACCGGAGGATAATGATCCGGAGGAAGTGCGGTATGATCGTTATCATAAGATGATCATCAGGCCTAAGGGCAATGAGTGAGATTTATTTATTACTTCTTTATTTTTGCTGAATTATAATAGCTAGTCTTATTTATTTAATGTAATTGCTATGTTACAGGTTCATACCTAGTCATCGGACTACAAAGATAATCACTGAAACTCTTGGCCGGTTGTATGATGCACTCTATGCGACTTGGAGTGATTTTTCACCGGAGCTCGTGGAGCAAATTTTCAACCAATTTAAGGTTTTAATATAATTCTTATATATATTTAAATATTATATTAACAATATTTTTATCTAACGTTACACACTTCATTTGCAGACTAAGTGTGCCTGGGAGGACCGGCATAACAGTGCCATTCTTACAAATTTTGAGTTCAAATGCCGTAAGAGACTATCTGATTCCTTCTGTTCTGCTAGGAAGAAGAGAAAGAAGCCTTCATGGGTTCTACCGCATTTATGGGAGGATCTGCCGAGGCAGTGGACCACTAAGAGATTCGAGAAGATGAGTGAACAGGGAAAGAATGCCCGAGCATCTAAGAAGGGTGGCTCCTTACACTGTGTGGGTGCAAGGAGCATGGGGAATGCGAGAAGACTACTAGTAATTCCTTAAAATGTTTAAATCTATTTTTATCGAATTATATTTATATATTTTAATTTAGTTAACATGTTTTTGATTATATTTGTAGGAAAATAAATATGGGAGGAAGATGACTCATGATAAGTTTTTCATGAAGACTCACATCCGTAAGAAGAAGGCACCGACAGATCCAAGTAGATGGGTCGAGGACCGGGCGGATACTACATATGTAAGTTTTTGATGAAAATGAAGAATCTATATTAAATTTTATTAATTTTGGCCAAGATCATATTTTAGAGCTCAAGTCCAAACATATGAGCTTATTTTCAAGAAGCGCAAGAAGTCTAAAAAGCTCAAGATTGATTTCAAGAAGCCAAGATTCTTTCCTTCTTAAAATAGGATTTGTTATTTCGTTACGAGAAAAAATTTCTTGTTTCCTTTTCTTGGTAGGTTTAGACTTTATTTATTGTCTTCCTTTTAGAATAAGGTTTTTTCTTTTAGTAGGATTCTAGTTTCTTTTCCTTGTAGAATAAGGATTTTACTTTTTTTTGTCTTTAGATATTTTATTTCCTTATTAGAATAAGAATTGTAGTCATCAAAGAAGAGACCTTAGGCCTATATAAGGGTTCTCATACCCTGTAGAGGGAAAATTCATATTTTTGGAGGTTTGCCCTAATTTACAATAGAGTGTTTTTCTCTATTTTATCTTTTTTATCCTTGTTTTTGATTCCAAGCAAGGTGGTGATAGACTTTATCTTGTTTTTAATTACGTGTGGTGTTTCTTTATCACGTTAATTGATTCCAAGTGGTGACTTTAGGAACTTTTTAGTTCTTGATCATTCAAGAACACATTTCTTGATCTAAATTCGTTCTTTTGATATCATAGAATCATAACTTTCATTAAACTGGTACAACATCAATATTTGCTTGTTTTGAATGAGTAAATAGTCTTTCTTATAGTTCAGATCGTCATATTTCACCTCGTTTTTGAATCATTAGATTCCGAGTCCTAAAACTTGAGATACATTATTTCTTGAAATTGACCCACAAACCATGTTTTCATTTCAAGATCTTGATCCTGGTCGGTTGGTTCTTTGTTAACTCGAAGAATCACATCAATTTAGTATAAAAACAGTAGGATGTGAACCTAATATGCAAGCAAGAAAAGGTCGTTGGGTTCAAGAAGATGAAGAAACAAGACAGCATGAATCTCTTTTCCACACTAGATGTACCTCCCATGGAAAAGTTTGTTCGTTGATTATTGATCGTGGGAGTCACATAAATATTATTTCTGAAGAGATGGTTATTAAACTTGGTTTGTCAACCAAATTTCGTCCATATCCTTACAACATCGAAGTTGAAGATGATGATGTTTTAGAGGTAACTCGTCAATGCCTAGTATCTTTTTCTATAGGTAAGATCTATAAAGACCAGATTTGGTGTGACGTAGTGAAGATGGATGCTTGTCACTTATTACTCGGAAGACCATGGGTGTATGATAGGTGTGCTAAATATAATGAAGACCTTAATACCTATTCTTTTACAAAGTATGGACGTAAGATTATTTTAGTACCATAAATCCTGAAGAAATTGCTAAACGTTTGAAGCCCAATTATGATTATTTTGTGAACAAATTACAAACAATTGGTCCAATCAATAGAGAAAAGTCTTTGAATATTGGTATTACTATGGAGGAGCACAAGGAGGAGGATCATGTACTAAATCTATAAGTTAAGGATTTACCTCCGAAGTTTGATGATGATCCATTGGAGCATCCCATATGTGAGCTTAATTTTTTACCTAATAGAGATGCTCGGCATAATATTGATTTGTTTGTTGATTCTATCCTTCTAAACGAGGCAACATATTGTATTAATCCAGAAGTCCATGAAATTTTACAAATACGTGAGGAAGGGTTGCTTAAAAAGGAGTTCATAATAGAGGATTTTAGTTCATATTTTGTTTCAGGTTTTTCTTGCCCCCAAAGGATGAATATTTTCAAGAGTATGTAGGAACAGGAAATCTCAACACAAATTGCGTCTATGGTTATGATCTAGTTAAATATGAGAGCATTGTTGCTGATGAATTCTCCAGAAGATATACTTCGATCTTCAAGCTAGATCCAAAAGTACTTGAATTTGATTCATTTAATGGTTTTTGTGGTACTAAATCGACTTTTTTGGGCATATTCCATGAGCACCATATTGACATGAAAAAGTTTAATATTCCTGAAATTCAAAAGAAAGTAACTTATGATTATGGATTAGT